CATTGTCTTCTTAAACCTTGTGTAGCATGACTTAAACCCTTTAGTACAATGTCACCGTACTCGAGTAAACTGATCACCGAATTCAAATGGTTGATACATCGTACTCAGTGGATTTGGTAAATTTTACCCACTATACTAATTTATTGTACTCACATGATACGTTATTGCACTCAAGATGTTAAGACTGTACTCAAAAGGTTTAATGTTATATACTGTATAGACTGGTGAAAAGTTGTGATGTTGAGATGAATTGGATAGGTTAGGTTAAGATACGGTCGTTTATCTTAAGATGAAATAAAGCTGGGGGTTTAATATTCAGGTGACCAAAAATCATTTAATCTCGTCATGGAGTGTAGAGCTCGTGTCTATTACCTTGACGCCTTTCTCAATTTGTGCTGAGTGGATCACTGGATCAAGTGGAGGAAAATCTCCAAAGGAAAGGAGAAAATGGTAGAGGAAAGTGGTGGAAGAAAAGTATAGACAGAAAGAGAAGATTTGTAAGAAAACAAATAAAAATATTACACACACGCACGCACGAGCGTGCACACACACACACACACACACACACACATATTAGTACTTTCAGGGGATTTTAATTAAATTTATACAAATGATATCGAAGACCAGCTGCTAGTATCACAAGCTGTGAACTTCCCTACGCAAGGTCAAAACACCCTTGACCTTTTCTGAACTGACTTAGCGGACCAGTACCTCCCACTTCAACCCATACCTTCTATCGGGTGTAACACACATCTATCAGTGCTCTAGTCTCCAGCTCCACTTCCAGCTATTCCAGGTATTCTCCTTAGTGAAGTGTACACACAATATTTTTATAAATAGATGAAGAAAAGACCATTTGGGTTTTGACAACTTAACCCACAAACTTTTTATGTATCCAGGTTCAGCTACCTACCCAAGAGGGGGTATACACACACGCACACACAAACACATGCATGCATGCATGCACGCACGCACGCACGCACGCATTACAGTATACACATTAAACAGAGACATTTACATTTAACTATTTCAATTAACAAAACTGCATCACTCTAGTAGAACTGACTAAGTGTTATTAGTAACAAACATCAATCAGGTTTATTGTATAATATTAATTAGCCTTTTCACGACTCGGCGAGGTGACCTCAATAGCGCCGCTGCTGGAGGCACTAGTGCTGGCGGCAACAGAGCTTGGTGACGTAAGACGCTGGAGCTGTAGCTATATATAGCACAAAGGAATGAACAAGTAGGAGTGAAAGGTCACACTTCACCTAAATATATCGTGTTGAAAAAATAAAGTCACCGGGCTAAGAGAAGATTTTCAGATTTGCCCGGCGAGGACTAAAATTACACTCCTGAAAGGCCAAGGTCATATGGAGTCACCTGTACCTGTACTGTCTGTTCTGTACAGTAGTGTCGGTCTTCTCGTAAGCGCTCGAGAGTGATGCCTTGGTAATGAGTGCTATGAATAGATATGTTTAATCCCACCACCCTCCCAGAATGCACTGTGAAGCTAATAAGGCCTCAAGGATCAACAGACACACACGCTGAATATTCAGCAGGAGAAAGTTGTTAAGTAGACTGAGATGATTGTGCTGTCAGGTGTGAAAAGATTGTTTTTGGTGTTTGTATAAAAACCAAGCTAGGGACACATCAGGGAAAGATATTCAGAAAGATGAGAGTCGTTTTCCCGAACATTATCTGAGAACAAACGATGTGCGGTTCAAGCTTTGCTGTCGAGTTTCCACATACACACTAATAACATAACTCAGATATCAGAACCTGAGTCTATGTTCACAATCATCCACACATGAAATTTTTCTCCCAACACACGTGTCATGTGAGAAGGCATCTAATGACTCACTTAAACTACGGCGCAGTGACGGAAAGTTTAAAGTGGCATTGATATTATTATAAAACACTCTTGATATTAACTAAATCTCTTGTAGTTAAGACGTTATTTCTTATCATCAGTGATAGAGGAGAGAGAGAGAGAGAGAGAGAGAGAGAGAGTGTGTGTGTGTGTGTGTGTGTTGAGGTGTTCCTAACTTAGAATTGGACTCTTGGATAAGGAGTTCTAGGCAGAACACAAAAACTCACGCCTTCTTCAGTCATTTCTCTTCGTCGTCTTGATCTATATGTTAAACGTGACTTCCAAAAGCACTTCCATTACTTCCCAACACCCTGCCACCTCCATCACTCTCCAATACCCTGCCACCTCCATCACTCTCCAACACTCTGCCACCTCCATCTCCAGCACAATCACCCTGCCACCTCCATACCCCGCCACCTCCATCACACCCTGCCACCTCCATCACTCCAACACCCTGCCACCTCCATCACTCTTCAACACCCTGCCACCTCCATCCAACACCCTCTTCAACACCCTGCCACCTCTCCAACCATGCACTCTCCAACACCCCTGGCACCTCCATCACTCTAACACCCTGCCCCCTCCATCATTCTTTTTTAACACTCTGCCACCTCCAGTAGCTTCCAACACTCTGCCACCTCCACCACTCTACACCCCTGTCACCCATCACCTCCATCACTCCTCAACACCCTGCTACCTCCATCACTCTCCAACACCCACACCTCCATCACTCTCCAACACTCTGCCACCTCCATCACTCTCTCAACACTCTGCCACCTCCATCACTCTTCAACACCCCTGCTACCCCATCACTCTCCAACACTCTGCCACCTCCATCACTCTCCAACACTCTGCCACCTCCATCACTCTCTAACACCACACCTCCATCACTTCCCTCCTCCATCACTCAGCACTCTACCCATCACTCCAACACTCTGCCACCCCATCACTCTCCCACTCCTCACCTCCTTTCTACCTCCATCACTCTCCAACACCCTGCCACCTCTCACTTCCAACACCCCCTGCCACCCCATCACCTCCAACACCTGCCACTCCATCACCTCCAACACCCCGTCACCTCCATCACTCTTCAACACCTGCCACACCTCCATCACTCTTCAACCCTGCCACCTCCATCACTCTCCAACACCCCTGGCACCTCCATCACTCTCAACACCCTGCCCTCCATCATTCTTAACTCACCACCTCTGCCATAGCTCCACAACACTCTGCCACCTCCACCACTCTCCTACACTCTCCACACCCTGTCACCTCCATCACTCTTCAACACCCCTCCACCTCCATCACTCTTCAGCACCCTGCTACCTCCATCACTTCCAACACTCTGCCACCTCCATCACTCTCCAACACTCTGCCACCTCCATCACTCTCTAACACTCTCCCCAACACTCTATCACTCTTCAACACCCCAACACTCTGCCACTACCTCCATCTCCCAACACTCTGCCCACCTCCATCACTCTCCAACACCCTTTCCATCCCACTCTCCTCTCTGCCAACCTCCATCACTCTCTAACACTCTGCCACCTCCATCACTCTTCAGCACCCTGCTCCTCCATCACTCTCTACATCCATCACTCTCCAGCACTCTGCCACCTCCATCACTCTCCAACACCTGCCACCTCCATCACTCTCAACACCCTCACTCTCCATCACTCTCCAACACCCTGTCACCTCCATCACTCTTCACCCACCCCTCCATCACTCTTCAGCACTCTACTACCTCATCACTCTCAACACTCTGCCACCCTCCAACACTCCATCCACTTTCAACACCCTGCTACCTCCAACACTCTCAACACTCTGCCACCTCCAACACTCCACCCATCAGCACCCTGCTACCTCCATCACTCTCCAAACACCCACACCCTCTCACCTCCACCTCCATCACTCTCCAACCTACATCACCTCCATCACTCTCCACACTCTGCCTCTCCAACACCCTCACTCCACACTCTCCCATACCTCCACCCCTGTCACCTCCATCACTCTCTAACCTCTGCCTCCAGCCTCCCCACACTCTCCCTACCACCCTATCACCTCCATCACTCTTCAACACCCCAAGCCCCCCATCACTCTTCAGCAGCACCTGCTACCTCCATCACTCTTCAACACCTACTACCTCCATCTGCTCTCCAACCCTGGTTACCTCCATCACTCTCCAACACCCCTGCCACCTCCATCACTCTTCACCCTGCTACCTCCATCACTCTCCACCCTGCTACTCTGCTACCTCCATCACTCTCTAACACTCTGCCGCCTCCACCACTCTCCTACACCCTGCCACCTCCATCACTCTTCAACACCCTGCTACCTCCATCACTCTCCAACACTCTGCCACCTCCATCACTCTTCAACACCCTGCCACCTCCATCACTCTCAACACCCTGCCACCTCCATCACTCTTCAACACCCTGCTACCTCCATCACTCTTCAACACCCTGCCATCTCCATCACTCCCTAACACGTGTCTCTGTTTGTTGAGGAACATCTCATTATGTCTTGAGATAAGGGAGGATGCCAGATGAAAGTAATTAATCCAGCACTTGTGGCAGGAGATCGAATGTTCCTACCTGGTTATTAGTTATTGGGAGAAGCAAGTGAAGGGTTATTGCCAGAGAATACATGTTTCTCTCTATATACATTTGAAATTAAAAACTGGATCACCGAATAATCCAAAATCTGAGAGGATTGGTGAAGAGAGACTGAAGAGAAATTTAAAATCCTCAGACCTGTTGGATTGATATGAAACTTCCATTTACTAGGTTTAATATTTTCATGAATTCTTATATGTTTTGTTTTAGGTATTCAGAAGCCTCCTCCTTCTATACCGTGACTAATGGTCGAGGCTCGCTGGTTGCAGGCGAGTGTTATGCGTTATGTATAAAATATTTTATGGAAATTCGAAAAGCACATACAAAACGATCTATTTTACATCAATTGGTGATTATTCAACAGTTTGTTTTTATGTTACAGCTATTGCTGAACATTATTATGATTAACATTAGTGACCGCATCGTGCAGAAAAAAGACACAAACAAGCAGAGGGACAGAGATAAAGGCTCTGCTGTTCCGCGACTGATACTAATTTAATCCACAGTCTCACCTGGTTCTTAGATGCAATATCTTGGATGGTATTGGCTCCGTCTGCGGACAGGCCTAGACTCAGCACCAAGGCGTCCCCAGTCGAGGGCTTCCGCTCAGTGAACACCACGGTATGAAAGGGTACACGCTGTCTCTTGCAGGGGGTCTCCTGCGGCCCAGCACTCAGTAGACCCGCCACGAAATTCTGGGTGGACTTGGAGCGAGAGTTCTTCCAACTTGCTGCCGTGCGAAATATACACAAACTCGTTATGCTCCCAGAAAACTCTGTAACTTATAAATGTGCAAGATTATTCTGGATGGTCAGAGGAATATATATATATATATATATATATATATATATATATATATATATATATATATATATATATATATATATGCAAGTAAATCACTGTAGGCGCGCGTGTAATATATATATATATATATAGATAATTGTCAATTAACTAATACTTCTATGTATTTTTTAAATATATAATCTTATCACTACTCAGACGGTCATGTATATAATCGTAATACATATAAATTAATAGTTTCGTATATACTAAACTAACCAAACCTAACTTAACTTATCCCACTTTAGGCATAACTTGGCTGTATTATGACGTCTTAAATGAAACAACAAATTTTACCATATATATATATATATATATATATATATATATATATATATATATATATATATATATATATATATATATATATATATATATAGAATGTAATAAATATATAGATATAATATAAATATATAAATAATAAATAATAAATAAATATAAATATAAATATAAATAATAAATAATAAATAATGAATAATAAGATAAATAAAATATATATATATGTGTGTGTGTGTGTGGTGTGTGTGTGTGTGGTGTGTGTGTGTGTGTGTGTGTGTGTGTGTATGTGTGTGTTGTGTGTGTGTGTGTGTGTGTGTGTGTGTGTGTGTGTGTGTGTGTGTGTGTGTGTGTGTGTGTGTGTGTGTGTGTGTGTGTATATATGTAATATAAATATATATATATATATATATGTAAATATAAATATATATATATATATATATATATATATATATATATATATATATATATATATATATCGTTTCATTTTTGAACTTTTTAATTTTGTTTATTTCTTTAAGGTTCTTTATTATTATTATTACTGTATTATTATTATTATTGTTGTTGTTATTATAATTATTGTTAGCATTATTATTTTATGATATTTTTAATTCTGTATTTTCTATTAAAATTTTGAATTACTATGAATTATTATTATTATTATTATTATTATTATTATTATTATTATTATTATTATAGTTTCGCCCCCCAGGCCCCGATGTGGGTCAGTGACCTGTGCCCGGGGGGGCCATCCCCTGTAAAAAAACAAAAAAACAAAAAAAACACCATGCAGGTTATCACTACAATCAATGAGGCAAAGATAAGATTATTTTTTTTTTTAAATAGAAATCAACAAGTAAATAAAATAGTGTACTAAGGAAGTAACATTAACTGTGGTGGAACTGTAGGTGTGCAAAGGAAATCAAAGCAAAAATAGTATTTAATAATCTAATAGTCCCGATAAAAAAAAATGACATCAAATCCAGTTTGAGAAAAAAGCTGTTGAAATGCAATATATAGTTCGTAGTTGCATGGGGCATAAGTGATGACATTTTCAGCAGACACCGGAAAGAAGTTAGTGGACTGTGACATGTGAAGCTACAGGACAATGCTAGAAATAAGTTATTGTGACAAGAAAACAAATGGAGAAGTACTAAGATTGGCAAAAACCTCACGAGAAATACTTGAAATTTATAGAATAAGGAAAATGAGATAGGAGGAACTAGGGAAGGCAGAGACGAGGATAGACGAATTAAATAAAAACTGGGTCTCCAGAGCGATGCACAATATGGGTGGATTGGTAAAAACAGTCCGACACGTTTAGAGTGGAGGACTGTGGTCGCCAACCCTTAGGCATAATGATGACACTTTGTTAGTCGATGTTATAATAAAAAGTTTTAGCCTACGGTGTTGAAGGAATAACGCCTGATGGACAGCATACGAAAGCAAAAAGTAGTACAGCACAATTATAAAGTTAGGTTCTGTGTCGGGGTGTTACAGGTAGTATAAATATGGCAACATTAGTATCAATACTATTGTTAGGTTTTTTAGACGAACCCACTTGTTGATTAGATTAGTTCTTTTAGGTTGAGATAGGCTCTGATTGGTGCCCTTTTAATCAAACAATTTAAAAAAAGTTATGTTAAAAATGTATAAATAGATTAACTCTGTATAATGGCATCATATACTTTAAATATAACATATTAATGATGAAATGTGTCTGTTATCGCCTGTAGCTGTTTATAAGGGCTCTCTCTCTCTCTCTCTCTCTCTCTCTCTCTCTATATATATATATATATATATATATATATATATATATATATATATATATATGCATTCTTGTATTAATTTTCCCCACTAAAATAAAATGAGATTAAATCGTGGAACCTTAACTAGCTCTAACCTATCTCAAGAAAGAACCCATTCTGAACCTTTGTCTTAGGAGGAAGAGCGGGAGTGTGTGTGTGTGTTGCTCACCACCACCACCCCAGAAGTGGGTCATCGAGCTTTGCCGGGCTGCGTGAGGGAAGTGAGAGAGAACTGTCAAAACAGCACGGACGAGGTCATTCCACCACCAGTGTAGAAGCTAAGCGCTTCTCACTCATATTCACGATGTTCGGGTCGTGATTGAGTAATTGGCATCTCATATACGATCGACATACACATAAGAGCACACACACACACTACACTACGTGTCTGCTGTTCAACACCTCAGCTCACATGAACTACGTGTGTAAACATTAATCTGTATGTTCCTTCACCTTTCTCTAATGAAGGCTTTTGTTAAACCACCAATGTATGTAATAAGTTCATTTATGTTCAATGTATATTTTCAGCCTTCGGGCTGCAAACTTTTTCAATAAACCGTTTATTATTATTATTATTATTATTATTATTATTATTATTATTATTATTACACACACACACAGCCATCACTACACGAAATTACACACTTGTGGAAACTTTTATATAGCAAGTATAAACGATATGTGAAAATGTTGTGGCACTTTTAGGAGTATTAAGAAATTATTCATTTAATTTTTTTTATTTAATTTCAGAAGTAAAATACAGGTCAGCAGTTTCAGCATTGCCTCTAATAAAATGTTACGATACTAGCATTATTTACAGAGGCAAGAATATTAAAGCTTAAATTAAGTATAAATTGTGTACTCCTAAAACAATATACAGTATACCGACTACCACGAGAGTCGTGTTTATAAGAATCGATGGATCAGTTCCCGGATAGTGGTGATAATCTCGCATCTGCGGGTTACCTGCTCAGTGATTCCTGTCCAACTATGACTCAATAGACTACGCTGTGGATAATACAAGTTCAGAAGAAATTAATTTTGATTTCAGTCTATCCTCAATAGCTAAATGCACATTGAACACAGCAATACCCAGAATAAAACTATACTATAAATGATGATTGGAGTGCATTATGGTAGTAGTGAAAATAATTATGTAACGTAAGAGCACCTTTGTTATAATTATGTACTAGTATAGAGTTTACAGACAAAGGCATTGCCATAAATACTCATTAGCTTGATAATAACACTCCTGTTAATTGCTTTATCTTCACTTGAGCTAATTTCCAAAATAATATGTAAGATAGTGGAAGCTGTAGACGATGACCTTAGAATAGGCTTGAAGTGAAATTTACTCGTAAGTGTTAATACAATTTACTTACTATTGAACAAATACACACACACACACGCTACTACTACTACTTTGCTGACATTCGGAATCGAGTGTGACGATCATCCAGCTATGATACAATGATTTGAGTTATTAGGGATGTCACCTAGGTTAGTGAGTTTTGAGGTGACTAAAGAGGACGATACGGAATCCGCAGCGTCATTCACATTCGTTGCACGTGTGGAGGGCTCCATCTACTGCGAGAGGGGAGGGGGGGTGGCAACGTCTTCCCGGCGTTGGCGCCTGTCTGCCTTGGTTTGCAGTCGGGCTAACTCGAAAGTATTGAAACCTTCTCGTGTAGTGCTCCTCTAAACGTTGCGATGTGGAGTAATCGACTCCCAGGTGAGGAGGTCGATTTGGCACTTTTTCAGGTTTGTCTTAAGACCATCCTTATACCTTTTCAATTGCCCGCCGTTGTTACGTTTAATATTCGTTAGGTGACTGTAAAGTAGTTGCTTTGGCAGTCTACTGTCGTCCATGCAGGTAACAAGGCAAGTCCAACGTAGTTGTTTATGGATAATGGTAGCCTCGATGCTCCTACAGTTGGTGTTAGCAAGAATACAGGCATTTGTTCTCTTGTCTTCCCAGCGAACTCGGAGGATGGAACGCATACTACGTTGATGAAAGTTTTCAAGTGCCTTGAGGTGCTTCCTGCATGTGACTCATGTCTAACTGCCACTTAGCAGAGTGGGGAGAACCACTGCTCCATATACGAGCAGCTTTCTAGATAATTCAAGCTCTCTGCAGCTTAAGACACGATTTCAGAGTCTGCCAAAGGCGTGAGATGCACATCTCATCCGATGCTGAATCTTTTCATCGATGTCTGCGGTGGTAGACAGGTGGGAGCCGAGATTTAGAAAGTGGGCAATATTCGAGAGGGTAGTACCGTTAAGCTGAATGGATGGTGGAGGTGTGTCTGAACCAGGGGCAGGTTGAAAGAGAATCCGAGTCTTACATACATTCACCTCAAGGCCGAAGTGTGCATACGCGTCTGAGTAGGTGTTCGTGATCTCCTGTAGGTCGTGTTCACTGTGAGCAAGAAGGGTGAGGTCGTCTGCATACTGTAGTCCAGTAATGGATGCTGCCGACATTTTTGTTCTTGCTGGAGTCGTCTTATGTTGAAAAGACCCCCTTTCACCCGGTTCTCGATGTTCACCTCGGAGGCTAAATTGGCACTGGCACGAGTAAGGAAGGCAGCCAATACGATGGAAAAGAGAGTTGGTGCCAGTACACAGGCTTGTTTAACCCCTGTTTGGATGGGGAAGAACTCTGACCGCGTGCCGTCGTGCAGGACACTGGCGTTCATGCCATCATGGAGTTGCCTCACAATGGCGATGAGTATTTGGTGGGCAGCCAAAACGGATGAGGGTCGACCAGATGGCTTCCCTGTTGACCGAGTCGAAGACCTTGGTTAGGTCGATGGAAGCCATGGGACATGTCACGACGCTGTTCTCTGCACTTTTCTTGTATCTGGCGGGCAGCAAAGATCATGTCAGTGGTGCCACGTGATGGTCTAAAACCACATTGAGATTCTGGGAGGAAGTTCTCCGCCTCAGGAAGAAGTCTGTTTAGGAGGCCTAGGGCGAAATCCCACGATAGTTGCCACAGTCTAACCGTCTCCCTTGTTCTTATAATATTGACAATGGAGGCGACTTTAAGAACTTGGGGGATTTCCTCCTTTTCCCATATATTCTCCAGCAGAGTGTGGAGACAGCTGGTAAGCAGAGGTCCTCCTGCTTTATACACCTCGGCTGGGATTCCCTCAGGCCTTGAGGCTTTGTTATTTTGCATCTGTTTGATGGCAGTAGCTACCTCATCCAGGATGGAGGGTAGCTGAGGTGGATCAGCTCTGGATGCTGAGGTTCCTGCTTGGTAGTCAGTACATCCATATATGTGTTTCGGTTAAGCAATGAATGGTAGTCTTTTTCCAGCGCTGAAGGAGGCCTCCATCGTCTTTAATTATGAAGTTACCGCCAGATGAGCGGAGGGGGGGCTGCGCCACGAGAGACTGGCCCAAAATGTTTTAGTGGAAATGAAAAATTCGTGCATCTTGTGCTGATCTGCAAATTTTTGTACTTCACATGGATTATTTTTAAGCCAGTCGTTCTTTAGATTGCGAAGTTCCCGCTGGGCTGCCTCTTTCTTCTGAGGGTTGTTCTGCCAGTCAGAAAAAGCAGCACGTTTATCATCGACGAGTCCTTTGATTGCCGGGTCATTTTCATCAAACCAGTCCTGGTGTATTCTTTTGATCTGACCAAGTTTCTCCCTGCATGTTTTTGTCATAACAGTATTAAGTGTGTCCCATTCGGCACTGGGATTCACGTTGTTTGCTGTTGGATTGTTTATAAGCCCATGTTCAAGCTGCTCTCTGAAAGCATGTGCTACCGCTGGATCTTCCAGATGCTTAGTATTAAAACCTCTTCTGACAGCTTGCTGCCTTCGCTGTTTTGGGGCGACGTGAAGTGAGAGCTTGGATCTGACAAGTTGATGATCAGTGTCACAGTGGTCTCAGCCAAGCATGGCACGGGTGATGAAGACATCTCGGTGATCTCTTTCTCTGACAATGATGTAATCAATGGGATGACAGTGTTTGGATCGTGGGTGTTGCCACGAACCCTTGAACTTGTCGGCCTGCCTAAACAAGGTATTGGAGATAGTGAGGTTGTGTTCAGCACACTTGTTGAGGAGGAGTAGGCCGTTGGGATTACACTTGCCTAGTCCATTTCTCCCTATGGTTCCCTGCCAAATGCTAGCATCTCTGCCAAATCTGGTATTGAAGTCGCCAAGGAGCACAACCTTGTCTCCTCTGGGGATACAGGTTCGCACTCTGTCGAGGTCGGCGTAAAAGACCTCCTTGATGTCATCCTCTGCATCCAATGTTGGGGCGTATGCACTAATGAACAGGGTATGACGTGAGTGACCCAGTGAAACTCGAAGCGTCATGAGGCCCTTATTGATCCCAATAGGCATTTCAATTAGCCTGTGTAGGATGCGTTGGCGGATGGCAAAGCCAAGTCCATAAATGCGGTTTCTCTCCGCAACAGGCTTACCCTTCCAGAAGAAGGTGTAACCAGACCCCCGTTCTGTGAGTTGGCCCTCATCTGGGAGCCGGGACTCACTAATGGCTGCTATGTCGATGTTATACCTAGCCAGCTCTTTTACACAATGGCAGTTCTTCTTTCAGGACGCACATTTGTGCCAGTATCCAGAAGGGTCCTGACATGCCATGCAGCGACCATAAGAGGTTGTATGGTTTGTTTTTGTTTGGATCTGTGATTTTGGTTGTGTTTTCGACCGCATAAGGAGGACCTTACTGGGTTGCCGTTGCCGAGTCAGGTTGGGTTTTTAGGCAGGCTATGTTAAGGGCATCTTTTCTAGCCTCCTCCCCATGAGGGGTGAGCAGAGTGGCTCCCCGAAAAGGCTGCTCAATCTCACAGACAGGACCCTATTGCACTGCTGCCTAGATCCCAGTGCATAAATCACCATCTTATCTGTGCCGCCCATGTGCAGAGTTGTGACTAGAGACTCCCGGCAGTCATCTCCGCCTGTCCCTGTCGCCACTCGTCCGTCATCATAGGACTTTTGGGGGATACAGGGGGGGGGTGATGATGATGAGAGGTATGATGAGCTGGGAGATGGCTGCACTCGAGTTGATTTATGTGGTGAGGCTGGAGCGCAGGCTGCAACCACACATCTTGGCTCTCCCTTTTCCTGATCCAATGGTGCAAGTGTTGCAACGACTGGGGAGAGGGAGAGTTGCAATGGACTGCCAATAGCTCAGTTTGTTGGGTTTCGCCTAAGTAGCCTGTCCATCATTGCCTTCATCCATGGGTGTAGTTCCTGGGTACCCATGGTGGTCCCCTCTTCCGCCTATACCGCCGTTAGGGTCTTGTTGGAGCTCTTTAAGCATATCTGCCTGATGCGGGGCTTCACCACAGATTTTTCGATCTGGGTTTACTCCCGTAGCCTTATACCTACCAAGGTTAATCCACAAGGCAGAGGGCCTATGCACAGTTCCTCTGGGGCCCATGGCTACTCCGAAATCCCCTGCTGGTCTAGCCTGGGACCACGAGGCACCTACTTACCGTGTGTTGCCACGAGGAGGCACAGCAGGAGTCTTGATGGCGAGGAGGCTGTGTACTGGCAGGGGAAGACTTATGAGCGTTGCTTCCCTGTTCACCACGAGGGCTAGCCAGCGGCGGTAGCTGAAAGCGAGAGGGAGCAAGTAATGCTTGCACCTTAACACTAACATAATGCAGCCACTCTAGACGCATTTCACCACACTGTTTGTGGCGCCACACACACACACACACACTATTCTCTCCCCTTCGTACTCCACATATCAAGAAGCACTCAACACAGTGACCCTCTCGGTTCTCTCTGATCATCACCATGATCTCATCTGCAAATTTGGTGAAAAGCGTTTGCCCCATCCTTGACACTGGCTCCTGCTTCCACCAGATATCCCTCGTCCCCGAATTGCTGTTCGACACCACAACCGCATTCAGCCCATACGAGCAACCATTGTTGCTGATCTGACTTTCTGCCTCATTTACACACAATTGCAGGGTCTCAATTGTTTCTCTTACTATTGACAACACAACATACATATATTGGTTCTCACTTTTGATCTTTTTTTTTCATTTTAGTATTTCTTTATGGCTCTCTATTACTATTATTAGTAGTAGTATATTACAGTGTTGGTGTTATTATTGTAATTCTTATTTTATTATTTTAATTTAAATTTTGTAATTGTTATTATAAATTTTATTTACTATGAATTATTATTATTATTATTATTATTATTATTATTATTATTATTATTATTATTATTACATTTTCGCCCCCCATGCCCGATTGGGTCAGTGACCTGTGCTCATGGACTAATCACGTAAAAAAAAAAATTATATATATATATATATATATATATATATATATATATATATATATATATATATATATATATATATATATATATATATATATATATATATATATATATATATATATATATATATATATATATATATATATGACTCAGCTATACAGTTGTCGTGTTTATATGTTCATATTAGCAATAATATTTCACTAAGTTAATGAAAATTGATCAGACTGACATAGCAAGATAAATATATTTAAAATTTTTCGAAAATCAACAACATAAATTTCCATAAACGTGATGGACAATGTTCTCTATTTGTACACGTTTTTATATCATAGCCGATTAAGCTTTAAAAAGCAACTGATGTTTTTGTCAAATGCGGATAACTCTTTGTTTCTATTGCTTCTACTTAAAGGAAATAAATTCTTATTTGGTAAAATTTTCTGTGCTTCACTTAAGGCGTCGTTTGCTACCATAAGATTGTAAAATTACACCTAAAGTAAATTAGATAAGGTTAGGTTAGGTTTTATATGAAACTACTCATATATATGTATTTTTATGATCTATATGATCGTTTATGAGCAGTCACAATTTTCCCTAAAAATTAAATACATAGAAGTTATTGCAAAGCGATATATATATATATATATATATATATATATATATATATATATATATATATACATATATATATATATATAATCATCATATTCCTATATATATATATATATATATATATATATATATATATATATATATATATATATATATATATATATATATATATATATATATATATATATATATATATATAATTTTTTTTCCTAGGAATATGATGAGAAACCCTGAAAGAAAAAAAATATATATTAAGAAGTTAACTGACCTGTGTCGCCCAGGAGTGTGGAGCAGAGATCTCCAAGTTGATTTTCCTTCAAGTTATCCTCGAGGTAGTCGTCCACGACCTCGATGGATGCAGCATGGAAGTCGATCTTGGGTATGACATCAGGTGTGGTCAACCCCTCAGCCTCACACATGACGCTGATTTCAGTTTGTGCATTGACCTTAGACCCTATATCATCCACTTTCAGACTGCGGACCTGCTTCAGTAGCACGCTATCAGCCGGAGTATCATCGATGTTCGGGAGGGACTCGAGGTCCCCGAGTGAAGTAATAAACGGATGACAGGACGGCAGTGAGGTGGAGACTCCTCGATCCTCTCTGGCCACAAAGGATTGATCTATGCGATGCCACAAGTCAACACCAACTGGGAGGACTGTCTCGGGAGTGGAAGTGAGAGGCAGTTTTATGGGATCATTGATATCGTTATTGTGGTCAACAGCCTCGTCATATGGAGTATCAGAGAACCGACTGTGATAACCATACTCTCCCTCGGTAGTGGGAGTGATTATATTGACCCGCTGCAGAATTTCACCATCTTCGTCAAAGCTGTAGATTGGGGCACTGGGCAAGACCAGGCCAGAGACTTCACCTCTTTCACTGTCAGTAAATATGGTGTTATGTTCAGCAAGGGTCTTGTCTCCTACGGAGATCATTGTTCTCATCTTGGGAGATTCAAGCTGAGTCTTTTTTGTTTCAGTCGCGTCACCATTTATTCTGCCTTCAGTATTTCTTGCATCGAGAGAAAGCGGGTCATCGTATCTCATTTTTGGCAACTGGATAGAGACTCGCGTTATTTTCTTATGGTCGAGATGAGAAAGTTTATCCATTTGGTGGTGGTCGTCGACGGGGTCTGCCATGAGGGTGATCAGAGTGATGAGACCAGCGTGGTACACTGTCTGAAGCAATGGTAGTAAAGGCTCCTGGCTCATGGCTGCACCATCCTCAGCCAAATTCCTCGTCACCACTCAAGAGCTCGAACACCCGAATTCTTGTGGAATTAAAAGTAAGTTTAAAACCACCTTGATCGTGTAGTGACTGTGGGATATGCAACTCGACTCCCTGTGCTTTACCTTTAAAGGGTAATTCTATATCTGAAAGGAAATATAACATTAGTACATAAACGAGTACACTGTATATGTTGTTCAGAAATATCTTGGAGGACGTCGATCTCCCAACGATACTAGATCTCATGCGTGTTGTTCTTCTCTCTGTTCTCGTAACATTTTCCTTTTCCTATCTTGTTTGTCAACCACCTCCTCCTCCTCTAGTACCTGATAGTCTTACTCTCCTCTAGTACCTGATAGTCTTACTCTCCCTCTAGTACCTGATAGTCTTACTCTCCCTCTAGTACCTGATAGTCTTCCTCTCCCTCTTGTACCTGATAGTCGTCCTCTCCCTCTAGTACCTGATCGTCTTCCTCTCCCTCTAGTACCTGATCGTCTTCCTCTCCCTCTAGTACCTGATAGTCTTCCTCTCCCTCTAGTACCTGATAGTCTTCCTCTCCCTCTTGTACCTGTCGTCCTCTCTCCTCTAGTACCCTGATAGTCGTCCTCCTCTAGGCACCTGGATCGTCTTCCTCTCCTCTAGTACCTGATAGTCTCTCCTCTAGTACCTGGAGGTCGTCCTCTAGTAATTGATCGTCTTCTCTCCTCTAGTACCTCCCGATCGTCTTCTCCTCTAGTACCTGATCGTCTTCCTCTAGTACCCGATCGTCTCTCTTCCTTCAGTACCCGATAGTCTCCTCTAGCACCCGATAGTCGTCCTTCCTCCAGTACCTGATCGTCTTCCCTCTCCCCTTCTAGTACCTTGATCGTCTTCCTTCCTCTAGCACCTGACCGTCTTCCTCTAGTAATTATAGTCTTCTCTCTACCTGATCGTCTTCCCTCTAGTACCTGATCGTCTTCTCTCTAGTACCTGATAGTCTTCCTCTCCCTCTAGTACCTGATCGTCTTCCTCTCCCTCTAGTACCTGATCGTCTTCCTCTCCCTCTAGTACCTGATAGTCTTCCTCTTCCTCTAGTACCTGATCGTCTTCCTCTCCCTCTAGTACCTGATCGTCTTCCTCTCCCTCTAGTACCTGATAGTCTTCCTCTCCCTCTAGTACCTGATCGTCTTCCTCTCCCTCTAGTACCTGATCGTCTTCCTCTCCCTCTAGTACCTGATCGTCTTCCTCTCCCTCTTGTACCTGATAGTCGTCCTCTCCCTCTAGTACCTGATCGTCTTCCTCTCCCTCTAGTACCTGATAATCTTCCTCTCTTTCCTGTATCGATCCCCTTCCTCTATACTGATCCATGCCTCTCGCTTAACCAACCAAATTTCACGCCCTTCCTTCAACCCAATTTCACGAACCCATTCATTCCCTCAACCCAATTTCTCGCCCAATTTCTTCCCTCAACCCAATTTCACAACCAATTCCTTCCTTCAACCCAATTTCACGAACCCATTCATTCCCTCAACCCAATTTCTCGCCCAATTTCTTCCCTCAACCCAATTTCACAACCAATTCCTTCCTTCAATCCAATTTCACTACCCATTCCTTCATTTAACCCAATTTCACGATCCATCACTTCCCTCCAACCAATTTCACGACCCATTCCTTCCCTTAACCCAATTTCACGCTCCAATTCTGTCCTCAACCTGATTTAACAACCAATTCCTTCCTTCAACCCAATTTCACGAACCCATTCATTCCCTCAACCCAATTTCAGTACCTAATCCTTCCTTCAACCCAGTTTCGCGATCCCTCCCTCCTCTCCTCTTCATTGCACACCACAGAGATCACACACACACACACTCATGTGCTTGCATCCTGATCCAGCATCTTGAGAATGGCGGTAAAAGACCCTGGGAGAATGTGCTGAAACATTAATGGGCGGTGGGCCAAGAGAAGAATCAGTTCATCTTGCTCGTTCCTAACTCGAGAATTGTCAGACGCCCTGTAACATGTGATATTTTGGTTCCCTGTTGTTTATGAACGAAAATATTAGGATAAAACAGACAGACAGACAGACACACACACCACTTACCGAGTTAGAATCAGTAGTTTAGTTTTCACTGTCAATCAGATTATGTAGCAACATTTAATCAAGTCAGCTTTTGTTAGCAATTAAAAAAAAAAGTATGTTTATAATCAAAGTGTCGGTGTCATAGTCATTGACATTAATATAGCTTAACCTTTTGTTTTGATCTATTTTACTCGCATCTTCAACCACTTAATTTTAAAGTTATATTATATACAGTATAGTCTAATAACACATTGTGACACGAACCTACCCCGTCCCCTCCCAGTCACTGTGTATCTGTATTTTTCTTGATAAATGAACTGCATCCATTTCGATATCAAAAATACCATTACATTTACTATTGTCCTATCATTGTTTAAATACCATAACCTAAACTAAAACCCTTCATCACGACTCTAAATCCAAGGACTTGTTAACTAAAGTACTTGAACACAATAGTTTTACTTCATTCCGCTTCAGTTAATGTAGAAAAAACAGCACTGATGAAGGAACAGTAATGAGGCCTGAATATGGTAACAATTCACGACCATGACCCATTGGGTTTTCCCTCCACGAAGAAAGAAAGTTCTAAGTATATCCTTACACTAAATTCCAATTATGAGACTAGCACTTGTCTTGAAGGAGGAGGATGAATTGGTGTGTGTGTGTGTGTGTGTGTGTGTGTGTGTGTGTGTGTGTGTGTGTGTGTGAGTGTGTGTGTGAGAGTGTGTGTGTGTGAAGGTGTGTGTGTGTGTGTGTGAGTGTATGTGTGAGAGTGTGTGAGTGTGTGTGTGAGAGTGTGTGTGTGGGGTGTGTGTGTGTGTGTGTGTGTGTGTGTGTGTGTGTGTGTGTGTGTGTGTGTGTGTGTGTGTGTGTGTGTGTGTGTGTGTGTGTGTGTATGTGTGAAAGTGTGTGTGGTGTGTGTGTGTGTGTGTGTGAGTGTATGTGTGAAGGGGGTGTGTGTGTGAGTGTGTGTGAGAATGTGTGTGTGTGTGTGTGTGTGTGTGTGTGAGTGCTGGTGTGTGTGTGAGTGTGTGTGTGTGTGTGTGTGTGTGCGTGTGTGTGAGTGTGAGTGTATGTGTGAGAGAGTGTGTGTGTGTGTGTGTGTGTGTGTGTGTGAGAGTGTGTGTGTATGAGTGTGTGTGTGTGTAGGTGTGTGTGTGTGTGTGTGTGTGTGTGTGTGTGTGTGTGTGTGATTTTATGTGTGTGTGTGTGTGTGTGTGTGTGTGTGTGTGTGTGTGTGTTGTTGTTTGTTGAAGTATTGATCAACAGCGGACCCAGGGACAGCAGGTGCACACAAGTAGGTTGACCTTTATCAGCAGACACGCATGCACACATCTCTTCCGCCTACACACACACACAATCGAGAGCGACTCAGAGAATCAGTAACTTCGTTTTCACTGCCCCCCAAAAAAAATATATGTATATATATATATACTCTATATATATATATATATATATATATATATATATATATATATATATATATATATATATATATATATATATATATGTTAGCGGGAGAGAAAAGGAGAGAAGAGAAGACGGGAATGCTGCGTTTAGCAAAAGGGGTAAGATGCAGTTTCTTAGAACAAATTTTTAGGGGGGTCGTATGTATGTTTCTCAGCACATGAGGACAGTGCTGTCTTTTTTTAGGGGGGTCGATTGTAATATTCAGAAATTTCAGAGTAATTTCAAATGCCCCGCCATTAGCGATACTGAGCGTTCAAGGTCATCTGAGGGGAGAGAGCGCTTCCTGCTCACAGCGAGAGATGGTGGAACTAGGCCTATATGATATTAAATGTAATTCACCGAATTAATAATGATGCGATTCATGAAGTAAGGGACTATTATTGAATTTGAAATTATTATAGATCGTTTATCAGTCTGAATAATGTTACGGGTGTCCCAAGGAGTTATTAGTTAGGCGGAAAATATGTCACGTAGACCTAAGCTAACGCCTTGAGAGGAGACGCGACGCTGGCTAGGTCTCAGTCGCGGGAAGCATTCACACAGACAAGACGTCCCTGCGCGTCTGTCACAGAAATAGTCACGTGGCCTAGTCACCTGTGCTGCGCTATGGCAGTATAACAAGTAAGTCTCATTCAATCTCAGACAGGGTTTAGATAGGGCAGTGGTAAAGTTAACTAGAGCTAACAGTGAGTTCATTTCAGGGTTTCCGTCAGAAACCACTTGACTGGAGTTGACTGGAGTTGACCGGAGTTGACTGCGAGAGATTGACTGCCGTTTGAGACTGCCGTTGATGATTGAGGGTGGCGATTGTCGCCATTGGACCGATCAGAGTAGGCCTGTCACTGTTTAGCGGGGTACCAAAGGATCTCTTGAGGGAATCTAGCCGTCTGGGTGCCCAGCTGACGTCGGCTCACAACACCACATGTCCCGAGCCGCTTAGTGAAACCCTCTTGCTAACGGGAAGCTAAAGCTCCTCTCAACTGCACAAGGTCTGATTGGCTCACTCTCTTCCTGCCCATGGACGCACTGGGAGTACACTGAGGCTATCTGAGTATATTAATGGTCACACACTGAGACCGTGAGTCTAGGACTCTAGGAGATACCTAGAGGAACATTTTATCTTCCTTATTACGGGTGTAGTTAACACCATTCCTCAGACTGATATTATCTTGACGTGTGTAGTTTAATAGTCCTAAATAATTTTGATAGTATTGTTTTTGAATGTTTGTGCCATTAAGTGGAACCAGAGTGATGCTGTGATTTGATTCTTTTAATGCATCTAATTGTTCTTCATAATTCTGATCTCAGGTATAACCTTGTTCCCCAGAGTAGTGGTTAAGTTAGGTTAGGAAGTGTGCATCTGTTGGGGTGCTATTATTTTGTTGAAAGCCCTTAAGGCCTATTCATTGTAGAGTAGTTAATTTCTTATTTTTTAATACCATTTCCTAAGTGACTGATATTATTTTGTGAAAGCCCTTAAGGCCTGTTTCATGTGTGCAAGCAACATTTCTTAATACTTCAAATTTATTGTTGCCTGTGTTTCTAATAATTTCTATATCATGTATAACTTTTATTCCCCAGAGTAGTGTTTTAAGTTTAAGTTAAGAGGTGCGCATA